TATTGTTCATGAGTGATTTACAATCAAAATTTATTTTTACTACAAAGCAGGAATCAATGCTACTTTACAAACAGGACAACACTAACATCTCATGAACTTCTACAAAAGTAGAACTTGCTAAGCTGGGAGACAACCAAGAAGCTCAGGAAGTAGAACACCTGCATACCATGGGCCAGGCCCTGGGTTCAAACACAGAAGGAAAGGGAAAAGGAAATCAAAGAGAAAGAGAAAGGAAAGGAAAGGAAAGAAAAAAGATGGACTTGTAGCTAACAAAATAATTTTTAAATGAAGACAGAAGGAAAAGATGGCTGCTTTCTCAAAAGAATTTGCTTAGCAACAGCATCTATAAGTATGGAAATAAGTCTTTCAGATCTACCATGGAAAAAGAGGATTCCCTTATGATATATGGGAATCTACTACCATTTGCAGTATGTATGTTTCAATATTACAATATTAAAAATTATTGAAGCATAATAGCTCATGCCTATAATCCTGGCTTCTCAGAAGGCCAAGATCAAAGGATCAAGGTTTGAAGCCAGCCTAAGCAAAAAAGACCAAGAAATTCTACTTAAAAATTAAGCCTGGGCTGGGAAGGTGGCTCAGTGGTAGAGTGCTTGCCTTGCATACATGAGGCCCTGGGTTTGATTCCACAGTACCACATAAGCAGAAAAAGCCAGACGTGGTGCTGCGGTTCAAGTGGTAGAGTGCTAGCCTTGAGCTGAAGAGCTGAGGAGCAGCGCCCAGGCCCAGAGTTCAGGCCCCACGACCGGAAAAAAAATTAAGCCAGGCTAGAAGCATGGTGCAAGTAGTAGAGCACCAAGTAGGCATGGCTCAAGTAGTAGGATAGTAGAGTAAGTAGTGTAAGCAAGCTTGAGGCCTGAGTTCAAAGTTCCAGTACCAAAGAAAAAAAGAATACTTATTGCATAAAAAGTAAAGCTGGGAGAGAGTGAGAGAACAGAAGGCACTGTATGAAAGGAAACATACTCATTACCTGACTCATGTAATTGCAATCCCTCTGTATACCACCGTTGTAATAACAATATTTTTTTTTAAGTCAAGCTACCATGACTCCTCAAACAAAATAAAAGAATAAGACTGGAAGAATAAGGGCTGGGAAGGTGGCTCAGCGGTAGAGTGCTTGCCTTGTATTCATGAGGCCCTGAGTTCGATTCCTCAGCACCACATAAGTAGAAAAAGCTGGAAATGGTGCTGTGACTCAAGTGGTAGAGTGCTAACCTTGAGCTGAAGAGCTGAGCTGAAGGACAGTGCCCAGACCCAGAGTTTAGGCCCCACAACTGACAAAAAAAAAAAAAAAAAGACTGGAAGAATAACTTGGTATTATAGCAAGAAAAGAAAGCAAACAGGGCTGGAAAGGTGGCTCAGTGGTAGAGTGCTTGCCTTGCATGCATGAGGCCCTGGGTTTGATTCCTCAGCACCATATAAGCAAAAAGAAAAAAGCCGGAAGCAGCGCTGTAGCTCAAATGGTAGAGTGCTAGCCTTAAGCTGAATAGCTAAGGGACAGAGCCCAGGCCCAGAGTTCAGGCCCCACAACCGGACCCAAAAACAAAAACAAAAGAAAAGAAAGCAAACAATGATACACAAATAATATAGTTGGCAATATAAAGAGTTGGGTTAGGTAACAGCCAAATGGATTTTTTTTTGAAGACTTAAGAGTTTGAGGAATATCTAATATCTACTTCTCAATAGTTTCTCTTTTAAAACCCTATTCAGGATAGAATCTGATGCCATAAAAGAATCTATATAAGAATCTACTATAAAAATACTATCTGGAAAGATAAAACAAATAGAAAAGACATACTCTAATCTTTTATCTAATCTTTTAATCTAGAGATTAAAAGGTAGAGTTGTGGGAGATTTACAGAAGAAAGGCAGTTACATGATGGTCACGGAAAAACAGGAGATAATGGCAATGGAGGCTCATGCAGAGTAAGCCTGGGCTCTAAACATCAAGTCTTTGCATGCTGTGGCCTCTGGAAGAGATAAGGAAAAAGGTGAGATCATTCCTGATGACTATGGGCAGGGACAAGCTAAAGACAAAGACCAGTACTACTTGTATCATCAGATATTTATGTCATTGCACTTTTTCTGTCTGAGCTAAGATTCAGTTATCTCTCAAGAAAAGAAGAAACCATAAATCAAAATCCTCTAATAAAGATACAAAGAGTGAGGAAAGCCAACTAAAGCTGGCAGTGATTCTTCCAACAGAGACAAAGAGAGAGAGAGAGAGAAAGAAATAGTCTCCTTAGGACAAAAGATCCCTTAAACTGGGCCCATGCCTGTAATCCTAGCTACTGAGAAGGCTGAGATCTAGAAGACTGAAGTTCAAACCCAGCAAGGGCAGAAGAGTCCCTGACAGTCTTATCTCCAACAAAAACTTGCAAAAAAAAAAGCAAGTTTGGCCAGGCAACCCAGGCAGAAAGCCAACCCAGGCAGAAAAGTGCTTATGAGACTCATCTCCAATTAACTACTCAAAAAAACTAGAAGTGATGCTAAGGCTCAAAGTGGTGGAGCGCTAGCTAGCATTGAACAAAAGAGCTCAGAGACAATGCCCAGGCCCAGGGTTCAAGCCCCACAAAAGACAAAAAAAAAACCAAGCTTGGTGGTGTGACGAAAGTGAGAGAGCACACAAGTCTTTTGAGTCTAAACCCTAGGACAGACTATTTAAAAAATTAAAAAAACTACCTTAAGTGATTCACAAAATCCAATGTTCCAGTGGAAAAGAACTCAGTGATGATAGTGACAAAAATTTGAGGGAAATTTACTAGACAATTTTAGTCAAAATACTAGGAAAACTATGGGCCTGATGTGTGGCTTAAGTGGTAAAACTGTAGCAAATACAAAGCCCTGAATCCAAACCTTAGTAAAACACACACACACACACACTCACGCGTGCACACACACACACACCAGCAAGATACCACAAAATCAAAGGTCAAAATCAGCTGGTACAAATACACATTACTATTTGGTTGACAGTTAAAAATAAATAAATAAATTACAATAAAGTAAGCAGATAACACTTCATCAAAGTCATTCATCATAATAAACAAGAATATGAGAAAGTTTCCTAAAAACTCTGGTAAAACCAACTGCTCCAGTAGGAACTTAGGTAGAATGCCAATGAAGTTCAGCAGTTAAATTTCTTCACAGAGCACAGCTTTCTCAGTTACACTACTAACATTAGCTTTTATGAAAAACAAGCATTAGTAGCCACTAATAATGTACTTTATTATAAAACTAGTCTATGACCTTTAAGAGATTAGGCACATGGAAAATGAGGTAGTGGAGGTATGGCTCAAGTGGTAGAGTGAAAAAGCCAAGGGACAGTGCCCAGGCCCTGAGTTCAAACCCCAATAAGGGGAAATGAGAGTAATATAATGGTCATGATCATAACGCAATGAAGGAAAAAAGCAAGTGTATAGAAGGACTGTTCAAAAAAAAAGAAAGCTGAAAGTCACTTTAAATAGGGGTTGGGGATATAGCTCAATGGTACAGCCCTTGCTTGCATGCTCAGGGTTCCTTCCAGCAGATGGGAGGCACAGGAAAAGCCAAACTACTCAGGATAGCACTAAGAAAACTACTAACATTGTGCCCCAAGAGAAGGAAGCTGTGCAGATGTAGAGTGGTTCTCAGTCTGTTCTTCCTTCGGTCACTCTTTCCTGAGCTAATTCTCCCCATGAAAAAGTTCACAATAAGTACTTTGTGAAACCAGAAGCAATAGCCCCAAACTTTACAAGGAAAATAAGATAATTGTCTATGTATTAACTACATGGAGCTCACAATGCATTAAAGAAAAGATGAGGGTGAAATAGTTCCAAGGCACGGGAAACTGAAGAGACAGGAAAAAGTGGCTCAAAATTAGGCCTGGTGAGTAAGTATCAACAGGAAGTACAATAGATGTAACCCTCAACTGAGGCAGAGTAACAGCTGTCCGTGTGTGGGATGGAGATACAGCTCAGTGGTACGGTGCTGACTATTATACTGCAAAACATTAGGTTTCATCTCCACCACTGGAAAAAAGAAAAGGAAAGAAAGAAAGAGAAGGGGGTAGGGACAGGGATGGTTGGATCCAGATTGCCTGAGTAGGAATCTTGGAGTCCACTTTACTCTCTCTGACCATGGACAAGTCACTTAACCTCTCTATAACTCATCTGTAAAATAAAAGTACTGTAATAATAATTCCAGCCTAATAGATGTGTTAATTTGTAAATCACTTAGCACAATGTCTTTCTCTCTATAGATAGACAGAGATAGAGATGTGCTATTTAAGCAAGTTGAGGAAGGTCAGGGTTTATGTGTACATCCCCAAATAAAATTCGAGGTGTACATGCAAAGCAATAGCAACTAGGGGATGTCAGGAGGGAAAACTGTACTCCGCGATAAGAATACAATGGGTTGCACCTTGAGGAGCGGGTCTATCTGACAGGGTTTAGGGAGCACCAGTTTACAGGAACGAGGCACTAGCGGAAGGAAACTTCCTTTCAGGCCCTAAGATTTTCAAGGACTCTTTCTCGAGAAGTAGTTAAGATTTGAAGGCAAGAGTTAAATTTCGAGCAACAGAGCGGGGAGTGAAATGCTGTTCGGTCACAACAGTGGGACTCAGGGCTACGGCAGAATGGGGTTTGAATCGGATAGGGAAGGCGGATGTCCCCAGGGGCAAGATCTGCCACCATCTGTCGGACGATCTCCCTGGCTCCCCGGCTCGGGGCCAGCCTCGGAGGGAGAACAAGGCTGCCCCGCCGACGGAGGCAGAGGGAGTCTCCTAAGTAACCAGGGGGTGAAGCGCGGGCGGTGAGGAGAGGACCCCACGTCGGGCTGGGCAGAGACCCGCCCCGAGCAGGATGCAGGTCGCCAGCGGGTCTCTCTCCTCAGGGAGTGGCCGGCGCCGGCCCTGTGGGGGCCGACTCACACTGCGGTCCAAAGGAGCCCGCCCGGGTCCTGTCCGTGCCCGCCCGTCCAGGGCCCGGTAACCCGGGTACCTGAGCGTGGGCCCGATGCAGGCCGTGTCGGTGCTCTCGATCTCTCGCAGGATCCGCTCGTGCTCTGCCGCCGTCTCCAGGCTCTCCGCCTCCGCCATCTTACTCCGCTCCATAGGATGGGGGCGCCCGTCACAGCGTCCCCTCCCTCAGTCAGGATCACCTTTCGCACCCTCACACTACCTCTCTCACCCAAGGCTGCACAGCCGCCCCAGCCGCCAGCAACCCACAGGATGAACCCTCCCTCAGGCTCGGCACGCCCCCAGTGTCATCACGCTCGCGACGTCCCGCGCAATGTTCGCTGGGATTTGTAGTTCCCCGCGAGCTGCGAGCTGGGTTCCGTTCATTTCTTCATTGAATCCATAAATACCTGTTGAAAGCGCACAATAAATCAGGAGTGCTTAATGACATCGTTGTATATGGGGATAATCAAGCCAGTGAATGGCACTAGACCTGCAAATCCTTGCTTACCGCCGTTTTTGAGAAGTGCAAAAGACTCCCTTCACGCATTTTTTTTTTTAAGGATTATCTAGATGACAGAGATCTCACAGTGTATCTTACAGGCCGGAATGCTCCAGAACTCCGAAGTATGGTCTAAGGCAGAACGTGGCTGAAATATAGCTTACAGGATCGAGTCCATTGACCAGTTTCATTGATACAGGTCTTCCTTGGAAGGTTAAAGGGTGTGACTACGAGTTACTCCCAGACAGCCAGCAAGAATTTAATTTGCACTAATGTGTAAAGAATTAGTCATACGCCGGGCGCTGGTGGCTCACGCCTGTAATCCTAGCTACTCAGGAGGCTGAGATCTGAGGATCGCGGTTCAAAGCCAGCCCGGGCAGGAGAGACCGTGAGACTCCTATCTCCAATAAACCACCAGAAAACCGGAAGTGGCGCTATAGCTCAAGTGGTAGAGCGCTCGCCTTGAGCTGAAGAGCTGAGGGACAGCACCCAGGCCCAGAGTTCAAGCCCCACGACCAACAAAAAAAAAAAAAAGAATTAGTCATAATAAATGAGACTGGAGAAAACATGTGAAGAGACTTAAATTCTAGGCAAATAAATTTGCACTTTATTCTAGTGGGTCTATCGATCCAGCAACCAACTAGAGCAGAAATACCTACATTTTTTTTTTCAGTACAAAAGTCCAATCTGGAGATTCTGGTCTAGTCATCTGCATGTCATAAACTCCCCCAGAATACAAATTAAAAATAAAAGTTATTGATAAGTGGCTTACATTTTTACTAACATAATGAATTGAAAATCATTATAGTTTTTATTTTGTTTTGTTTTGTTTTTTGGTCAGTCGTAGGGGCTGAACTCTGGGCCTGGACCCTGTCCCTTAGCTCCTCAGCTCAAGGCTAGTGCACTACCACTTGAGCCACAGCACCACTTCCGGCTTTCTTATGCTTATGTGGTGCTGAGGAATCAAACCAAGGGTCTCATGCATGTGAGGCAAGCACTCTACCACTGAGCCAACTTCCCAGACCTACCCAGGTTTTGTTTTGTTTTGTTTTTTGTTGTTGTTGTTGTTTAAAGAAGTGGAGGGTAATTTGACCAGAATCTCACAGCCTTAGGAAATTTGATCAATTTTAAGTACACAAGATGTGCAGATGGAGATAGATGGTGTAGGAAATGGTAAAGGCTGAACCAGTGGAGTAGCCTTGAGAATGAAAGAGAACAGACAGATAAGAATAACAGTGTAAAAGGGGAATTGTCAGGATTTCACTGGATACCAGGAGGAAATTTTTAAGTACTTAAGGTTTAGAACCAAAGTTACTGAAAGAATAGTGTGGTCATCAACTGAAAAAGATCTGTGAGAACAAGACTAAATAACTAATGGTGCAGCCATAGTATGAATGATTATGCAATCTTTAAACAAAGAAAAGAACATATTAAAAAAAACTGTCTTTAAATTACACTGGTGAGTAGGAAAAAAACAAAGCATGAAACACTATATAGATTGTGTTTCCATTTTTAAGAATAAATATTTAAAGAACAGAAGGAGGGAGAATGAAGTCATAAATTTCAATGCACATCCTACAAAATTACAAAAATTAAGAGAAGAGATGAGGTCAGGAAGGATGGGGGAGAATGACAAAAGGGGTAAAACTGATCAAGATGCATTGTATTCATAAGCTGTTTGTTGGATGGCAAGTCCTTGATACAACTACTTAAAGATAATTTTAACATAATAATATTTAAATAATATTTAAAGGACATTCAAGATGGGAACACGTGGCTCATGCCACCTGAGGATTGAACCAGTTTGGGCAAGAAAGTCAATACGACTCTTATCTCCAGGTAACCACCAAAATGCCAAAAGTGGTAGAGGCCAGCATTGAGCAAAAAAGCTAAGGAACAGCACTCAAGCCTTGAGTTCGAGCCTCAGTACTGACAAATAAAATGAAATCAAATAAAAAATAAATATTTAACTGGGTTTAGTGGTATATGAACGTAATCACAGCAATCAGAATACTTAGGAAAGAGGAATGAGTGGCTAAGACCAGCCTACACTACGTGGCTGGATCATGTCTCCAAAAAAAACTTTTAAGAATAATACTATATTCTAATATATGCACATAAAATATTACAGATACAGAATATTTCTGAAAGGCTGTTAATCACAGTGGCAGTTAGGAGAAGGACTGAAAGGGAAAGGCTGAAATAGGAGGGAGGTAATTTTGTTACCCTTGGACATATGTTGCTTGCTTAATAAAAGTAGTAATCAACTAAGAATATTTTTCTAAAAAAAAATTTTTAAAAGAAATAAACTAAGAAGAGAAAGGACAAGTCCTGGTTTGCAGAAACACAGCAAGTTGTTAAACCTGTCTGTTTCTAAGTAATCCCTAGGTGTCCTCATTTTATTCCATTACTCATGCTAAAGCAATTTCAAATGGATGTAGGAAGGGTCAGGAGAATATAGAGTCTGCCTCTCACAGTTCTAAAGGTCTCTTGAAATACATGACAAAGGACCCTTCACGCACCCATTTTATTATCTCAGCAAAAAACTTCCAACCCATCACAGGAGCCTGACTAGTGTAGAGACCAGACATACATCGGCAGTTTGTTTTTTTGTTTTTTTTTTTAGTTTTGGGGGTTTTTTGTTTTGCTTTTTTTGTTTGTTTATGGGGGATTTTTTGCTGTTGTTTTTGTTTGTTTGTTAACCACCAAGGACATGAGACCCAACTCTTACCAACAAATACGTAAGAGTCCAGAAGGACTGGCATAGGAAAGGTCCAATGAACTTGGACTGCCAAAATTAATGCCCTTCAAATAGAACAAATAGCAGGTAAGTATGGAGCAACTTGGAGAACACTGGACTAAGAATCAGAGTCCCAACCAGTCCCAGGTGGCTCAGGCCTGTAATCCTAGTTACTTGGGAGGCTGAGGTCTGAGGATTTCAGTTTGAAGCCAGGCTAGGCAGGAGTCTATGAGACTCTTGCCTCTAACCACCAAAAAGCCAGAAGTGGAGCTGTGGCTCAAGTGGTAGAATTCTAGCCTTGAGTGAAAAAGCTACAGCACAGTGCTCAAGCCCTGATTTCAAGCCCCAGTACCAGCATACACACACACACACACACACACACCTCAGAGCCCCTTTGATTCACTCCCAGCATTAGGAGCTAACAATTGTATCAGATGCAGGACCTTTTGTCTATATTGAATTTCTAACCCAAACATTTAAATATGTGTCTCCAGTAGTCCAGTGCTTACCTAACATGTATAGGCCTTGGGTTTGATACCCAACAATGCAAAAATAATTAAGTAATGTTTAAAATTAAAATAAACTGTATAGTTTCCAGATGCTTCTGATACAGTGGACTTTGGATCAGTGGAATCATTAGCATAAAGCACATGTTCATTGCCCTGTATTTATGACTCTTCACAAACAGTCTCCAAGGTAGCTTTCCAGGCACAATAAACAAAGGATGCAGTTCACATCTGCCAACTTCATTTAATCCTTACAACAAAGCTCCTTGACAATTGATACTTTGTATCTCACTTTAGACAGGAGAAAACTGAGATTTTAGGTAGTATCCCAGATCTGATATCCAGTAAATAATGAAACTGATATTCAGACAGATCCACCTGATTCCAAGGCTCATTTCTTGATCATTTGTCTGGTCTGTCCCACCCACATCCACCACAGTCTGGAGTTTATTGCACCAGCTTAAACAAATCATTCTGCCTCTCTGCATCTGTTTCCACATGAGTAAAATGGCTTGTATTATTTCCCCCTTCCACATCACCTTGGCGATCTCTTCACAGAACCCCACCCTTCCATTCACTCACTTAGAACAACTGATTTTCTCTTTCACTGGAGATGACTAAATCAGGAACCTCCCCACACTCCTCTGTCAATAAACTGTTGGTCCAAGAACCTGGTTTTGACACTCTCCTCATTTGAGGTCTGGGGCATCAAGTACACTGTAATTATCATAATACTCGTGTTCCTCAAAAATTCTATCACTTGGAAGCCTCATTATTCATGAATAATGAGTAATAGTGGCACATGCCTATATAATTTCACGTAGGAGGCTGAGGCAGTGGGGTGGTAAGTTTAAATCCAGTCTGAGCATGACTCTGGCTCAAAAAGTACAAGAGGCCGGCTCACACCTGTAATCCTAGCTGCTCAAGAGGCTGACATCTGAAGTTTGCTGTTGGAAGCCAGCAGGAAAGTCCACATTAGGTGTGCCCAGGAAAAAGGTCCCTTTCCCATTGCTCTTCTTGGGTGCACATGTGGCTCCTTCCCTAGAAGCATAGGCCCAGCATTGGTAACCCAGGTAACTGGCGAACCTGGGGGTAGTGGGAGGTCCCCAGGTTCTGAGGTCTTCCCTGCGGCCACACCTCCTCTGGCCTCTTCCTACCAGTCCCCATCACAGTTCCCCCGCTTCTGTTTTCTTGCAGCCTATCTCTTGTCCCTTGCCCCCCTTCCCCCCTTCCTTCCATTTCCCTTCCTCTACATCCTTTGCACCCCTGCACTCCTCCATCTTGTGCAGGCTGGCAGTGTGCTCTCCCTCCAATAAACTCTTTTCTGCCTGAACCATGTGGCAGTCTCTTATCTCCATAAACTACTCAGAAAAAGACAGAAATGGTGGTAAGACTCAAGTGGTAGAGTGCTAGCCTTGAGCACAAAGAGGCTCAGGGGACAGCGCCCAGGCCCTGAGTTCAAACCGCAGCACTGGCAAAACAAAAAACATAAAAGTGAAAAATAG